TCTACTTTCTCTACAAAACCATTAAAGAAACAAACCTGTATTCAGTCTGATAATGCTACTCACAACCTAGCCAGTTAAACTCACATCACCCAGCTTAAAGAGTACCAGACACAGAACTTGATAGGACTGAAATCTCTTCTGTCCTGTAGAGAGACACTACAAGATCCTGAAGTGCTGTCCTGCTGAGCTTCCACTTCTTTCTGACCAGTTGCATCACACAGGAAATATGGCCAATCTAGGAGCATCAGTGCAGATGGTTTACCCGCTAATTACTACCACTGCATAAAAAGAAACCCGCCCCTTTCAAGGACAATACCAATTATGGTCCCAGATTAGAAACTGGGAGGAGGGCAGACCAGATGACTTCTTAACAGGCAACGGCTTTGTCAGGTCTATACTAAAAATCATGTTCATTCCAGCTCTCCTCCATTACAAATTAAAGGCAGCTTGAAATCAGTTTAACTTTGATGACTTTCCGACAAGTCATGAGAATTGTACCGCAATTATGAAGCCTAACCTTTTGACAGCATTATAATCCCCACAATTCCTTTGGCTGGGGACCATGGAGTTGCATCCAACAGAAAATTTTCACTGACGGATTGGGTGGGCGTTTTTCACAGACTTCCTCCTCTCGCTGCAGGCTTTCAACTTCCCCCTCGTGATGTTCTGGGAATCCCCATCCTTCAAAAACAGCATTTTGGGCCACAGTGGGAGGGTGAGATGACAAAGCTCTGCTCTGCTGAAGGAAACCCCTTCGGTCAGTGGAAATTTGGATCTAACCCCATAACTGTTTTTTATTTGTAATGTAGAAATGCCTTTGGTGTAGGAATTTGAGTTAAGGCTCCTACATCCAAAACATGCCTACACTACAAACATAAACCAACTGTTTCTCATGGTCCCCAGTCAAGATTCAAGCTGAACCCCTCCAAAGAGGGATCAGTGCTTTAATAGAGTTTGGCACGAAAGAAAATCCAGAGTTAATGCAATACACTTACATCAAATATGGGATTACTCTGAAATTGTTTCCTAAAACATAACTGTCCTTGGGTTTTGTGCATTCCTTTGTAAGATCTCTCTGTACATTTTGTATAATTTCCCTCATTCTGTTGAGGGGGGAAAATTATAAAAAGAGAAAATGTTGGCTGCATATTTCTTGGTCTCTGTCTCAGTAGGTAACAAGGCATCAGATTTGATTAGATGATACTTACACATTATATATTTGCTTTGTTCATCTTTGCTGCCAAGTTTCAAAATTTTGTCAAAAACCTTAAACAACTATGGCCAATTCAATGAAGGTAATTTTCTAACAGCTATAATCATTTCTCATATTGCAGGGCCATCAGAGCAATAGAACATCTGAGTTATTGCTTTTTAAAGAGAGAGCTGTCCTTAACAATTTTTTCTGATGGCATAAAAAAGCACTGTCACAGAAACAGAATGTGCCTCCTCAGACCAAAGTAACACAAAGAAATATTTCTTTGCCCAGAGCCACATGCCAGTTTCCTGTTTCCCAGGAGTATTTTCTCTTCCTTGACCATAATTTATTGCACTTTGCCTCAGACTCTGTAAAAGTTTCACAAGGAAAACTTTTTACCATGAACTGCTACTTACCCCTGAGAATTCACCAACTTTATAGCAGCATTAGGTATCCCTGTCACCAGAATATATTGCTGTAGAGGAATACATTTAAAGATGGCGATAGGCCATTCACTCTCTATTTTATTCTTTCAGAATTTTTAATGGATCTATTCCCATGATCTGCTTTTACCACAGTTCCTCTTATAGCTATTCTACTACAGGCAAGTCATCAGGTAAGGGGGTTCTCTCGAGTGATGCTAAGAACACGCTTCAGCGTGCGACACTTCACTCATGAAGGCTGGAGCAATGGAAGAAAGCCATTCTAAAATTAGATATGCAAGGTTCTATATGTGAAAGTTAATTGAAGCGGCAGCTGTGAAGAAGCCAGGACCTTTGACTGAAATTGCATCCAGCTTGCCTACTTAAAACAGAACCAATCACTGAGGCATTCGTCACCAGCCACTTCCACTTTGCCACCCACCCTTACTAAATGAACTCGCCATCACTGCTGCTGCTAATGATATGGTACCTCTGCATAAAAAGATGTGCAGGACAGGTGGTATATCTGTTTTCTTATGTAAACCGAGCTTTTCCTCCAATTTTCTGAGGGCAACCTTGCTTTTCAGCTGCTTATCTTGGCTTGTCTGTCTCCCTCTGACTATTTTGCTAGCATAAGATTTTCCCCCAGGTCTTTAAAAGAAAGGATTAAAGCACAATTGTTTTCTTCTTGCAGGGAGTTTCTACAAGCAGCTGTTGCCACATTGACCCAAGAAAATAAAGGTCTCAGCCAGCCTTGCTAAAAATAGTCTGCGGCATTTCCACTGTCAGAGCAGAGGTTACAGAATGGTGCGATTTAGGCACCCAATGACCTGTGACTATAGTAAAGGTAAAGGTTCCCTTGCTCGAAAGCCAGTCGAATCCGACTCTAGGGTTGCGGTGCTCATCTCCGTTTCAGAGCCGAAGAGCCAGCGCTGTCCAAAGACGTTTCCGTGGTCATGTGGCCGGCATGACTAAACACAAGGCGCACGGAACGCTGTTACCTTCCCACCGAAGTGGTACCTATTTATCTACTTGCAATGTCTTGCTTTCGAACTGCTAGGTTGGCAGGAGCTGGAACTAGAGACGGGAGCTCACTCCATCATGCGGCACCCAGGTCTCGAACTGCTGAACTACTGACCTTCCACAGCCGGCAGTTCAGCGTCTTAACCACTTGAGCCACCGCAGCTCCTTGTGACTACAGTAGGCCCCGATGAAAATCGTAACTCAGCCATGAACTCACTAGGTAGCCCAATACTTGCATAACTTACAGTGCTGTTATGAATATTACTGAGAAGTTATGCAAACCATTAAAAACACTCAAAAAGCCCAACACTAAATATGATTGCTGAAATTAACTGATTACAATGATATTCCTGTGACTTCTCACTATGGAAACTAAATGATTCCCATTTTGTTATGCATTCACATTGCACATGCCAGAGGCACAGATAGCTTTAAAAAGATCTATCAGTGGCTACTAGCCATGGTGACTAGCCACGTCCAGATGCAATACACCTCTGAATATCCATGCAGGAGACAATATCCAGGGGAGGGCCTCAGCCTGTATGATTTCTTGTGGTCCCTCCTGAGGAACTTGTTGGCCACTGTGTGAGGCAGAGTGCTGGACTAAATGAACCACTGGTCTGATCCAGCAGGGCTCTTTCTTAAGTTCTTATTTACATTCCAGCAAATGTGTTGAGGTTGCATACCATAGTCACTTTCTACCTTTTTAGGGCTGAAAATTGACATAGCTAACAATGTTTAGAATTTATTCTGGTCCAAGGACTAGGGACAAAAGAGCTGTTTCCAGAACAGAATGCAGAAATTATCCATACTATGTCGAAGTTCTGTCATCATGGTCAACAGAAATAAAGTTCAACATGTTAGAATGAATTTCTTAAGCAGCTATTCCTCTAAGGACACACACAAAAACAAACTGTTTTTTAATTAAAAAAAAAATCCCAGTGGCACATCCCTTACAGTTGTCTAAATAACTTACAGTCAGATTTTCTTCAAGAATACTGTGTTGGGGATTATTTTGAGGAGACGTATGTACTGAAAATAGTGTTTCGGAACTGAAAACTGATACGAACTTTTCAAAAGTGTGTGCATGCCACATACACATACAAGCTCAACTGAGACATCACCAAAAACCATGGCTTAATTAAACTAGGGTGTAATTTTCAGATCGCTGGTGACTCCAGTACCTGATTAGTCTTTCAAAAGAGGTTCTGGAATTACTGCTTGAAGTTAGTTTCTAAACAAGTTAGTCTTCAGCCATGATTTCACATGAGGTGTGCATACAGACATCCTGACTTTACACTGGCTTATTCCCCAGCACCTTGGCTAGAGAATGAAGACAACAAAAGTAGCATTTGCTGTGGCACATTAGGACTTGTATAGTAAAAGGAAAGCTAAATCCTGCTTCCATAAACTAAGCAATTAAAATAAACCATGATTTTGCATTATATCTGAATGGAACCAGTTAGTCCAATTTCCCATAAGACTTTACTACTTTATTCCTTCATAGAAATAATTTCTCGGAAGCAAAACCCATGGAGGAGTATCATGTGACAGAACAAAAGTGGATTTTTAGGATTAAAAACATCTTCTAATTGGGCAACTTCCATTATAAAGTGGTCTAGTTTCACAGAACATCAGAACAGTGGACATACTGCTTTCATTTAGCTATGTAACTAGGAAAGCTGATGAGCTATGGACAGATAGTGACCTGGCTTTGAATCCTTTGCTCTAACAGGTCTGGAATGTCATTCCAAAATCACTCAGCACAATGGCTGGTTTAAGTGTAGTAGCAGGCTTGGCTTTCTTGTGGTCTCTTTTAAAAAGTTATTCTATAACCTTGATGCCAGCTCAACAGCCAACATCATTCTAACTTTATCACTGAAAAATAATCACTGTGATACATATATGAAGTACTGCTTTTTGTTGTTCAGTCACACAGTTGAGTCCAACTCTTCACGACCCCATGGACCAGATCACGCCAGGGCTTCTGCCGTCCTCTGCCGTTTGCTCAACTTCATGTTCGTTGCATCAATGACACTAAACATCTCATCCTTTGCCGTCCCCGTCTTCTTTGACCTTCAATCTTTCCCAGCATCAGGGTCTTCTCCAGTGAGTGCTCCCTTCTCATTTGGTGGCCAAAATATTTGAGCTTCAGTTTCATTATCTGGCCTTCCAGGGAACAGTCAGGGTTGATTTCTTTTAGGACTGACTGATTTGATCTTCTTGCAGTCCAAGGGACTCTCAAGAGTCTTCTTCAGCACCATAGTTCAAAAGAATCTATTCTTCGGCGCTCGGCCTTCCTTCCTGCTACTTACTGCTACTCAGGCAATAAAAAAGAAACCTCCCCAACGAGACTGTAATTATTTTTTAATACACATCTTGCTTTTAACAGCAATTTGAAGTAAACAACAACCACCTTTACAATTCACAACTAGTGAAGAGTTTATAGTGCTTATAAAGTTGTATCTAAAATATACCTTATTCATCCTCTATAGAACATTTTGAAGACAGACTAATATTGTAATTACACATTATACAATAGCTGCATCTTTCCACCACTGTAATTAAGGTTGTTTCTGCATTCCCATTACAAATATATCCTCTCAAGATTTCAGTATGGGCTGGTTGTTACACAAAATATTTGTGGATTGTTTTAAATGAAGAGCAACTTATTAAAACAGAGCAATCCACCAAAATAACTGAGAAGACAGGCTGAAATGGCATCAGTTGCAAAAACCGGAGGAGTAATGTTTTTCACAATGGGATTTTCAAACCGACCATGTGCTATTACTGATGCCCAGCAAAGACAACTCACAAGGGTGGTGTGCAAGTGGTTTCTTAGCAAAAGTAGCACTTTCTGCATCCAAGTTAATATGCAAGGCCTGAGAGTTATGTCTTCATGCATTTAAGTTTTTAACAGCACAGTTAAGTCGCCCTGGATTTCTTCAGCAAAATGGAGAAGTTCCTTCTATAAAGCTGGATGGAATGACTGTGTGATACTGAGAACACATAAGATTTGAAGGACAACCATCAAATGGTTAAGTCTTCCAAGCATTACTGAGTCTTTAGAAAATACAGATGGTATGCATAATCTTCAGATAACACAGCCACAGTGAACCATAATTATACTGCTATTCTGTGAACTAAGGTCCCACACAATTGCCAGTTGTCTTCAGTCATTTCGCTTATATTCACAAAAATCTGTGGCACACCACAATCTTGCTCTACTCTCTAGGGCAGCTTACTCCCACAAGAAAGACTGGAAAAACTCATTGTAGAAGATGATCTCCTTTCAGTACACATCGTTTCCGATTTATTCCATGCTCTATACGTATATGGACAGAGCCAAGAGCACACAAACAGCAGAAAGAACATGGTAAGTCAGAGAGCTCAGGTACAGCTCTTTCAAACCCCGTACTCCTCACTGATTTATCACCCATAGCAGTACTCGGATTTAATCACAAACTGCTGTACAAGGGACAAAAATTACAGATTTTAAGCCTTTAAGTTGTTCTTGTGCCAATATTTAACAAGCTTAGAACACCACCTAAAATGTGTGAGTCAACCCCATAAATATCAGCATAACTGTTGGATAGCCACAAATTCTGCTGAGCCTAAAATATCAATCACATGGTATTTCATGTTAAAGCATCTCCATAATTCCAAGCATCAGTCACACCACTTAAGGAGATGTTTTAAAATTAAATCAGATGTGCATAATTTCAAAACAAATCCTTAAGTGGTGTGAATGATGCTTGGAATTATGGAGACATTTTAATATGAAAGAACTTGGAGGGAAGAGCAATAAGCACATGCACTAATACTTAAATGCTTTCAAATATTATTAATTTCTGTAACATCACAACCACTTTGGAGGAGTTGCTGTGCATTGAAATGAAGCTGCAACTGCCAGTGGAAAGCTGGAGCTACTGATACGTTGCATATTATTTGTGGGGTTTTTTTAAAAAAAAAAGTCTTATTGATTGCACGTTTTCCTTCTGATAACATTTCCTTCAAGACCTGCATTGCATATTCTCCACGTATTAGATTGCAAGCTATAAAAAATGCTGCTTGATGTGCCTGTTTCCGTGTCTATGAGTGTAACATACACATTATTAAGAAAAAAATAAATGCTCTCTCTGAGCAGATGTTCTTTGGGCCAACTTCAGCCTTTTCAAGGGGCTGCAGCATGTTTCTCTAAAACCTTTCACAATTTTTTAAGAAAGTAACTTTTAAAAAAGCAGCAGTACACAGCCTGAATGGATATAATAGTGACAGAAGTGATGAAACTGGCCAGGGTTTAGAGGAGATTCGACTGAAGTTTCCATTTAGATAGATGACCCTGGGGCTTTGTCTTCAATAAGGCATATCTCCCCACCCCCACTCCCAAGTCTGTCGTAATAAAAGCAGAATGAGCGTATGGCATGAGCTGGTCCCAATTCATTAGTATCCTTTCCGAGTCCCGCTGCCACAAGTGGCAATCCTGCACAAGAACACTCCCATCTATTCATGTAATGAAGTCTGCATAGGAACAGTTCACATTAGATTTGCAAACAGTACACCAAGGAATATCTCAGTACAGTTAGGAGAGTTTTGGATTTTCCTATTTGCAGAGCAAGCAACTGTTGCTGTCCACAGTAATCACTTCCTTCGGGGCCATGCTTGCACTTGCAGCTGTGTTTCTGCTGGGGCAGAGACGCCCGACTGCAAAGGGACATGCTCCTAAGCATTTCACATGCGTGGACATTGTAACTGCCAGATCGATTATGTATCCTAAGTGCAAAGCACACAGAACAAGACACCTCATGTTGGTTGCATGCCAATGCACCTGATATGTGCATTGCGGATAGAAATGACTGACCTGCGGATGGAAATGACTGATGACATCACTTGGGACTATGTTTTTGATTCAATTTTATCAATGTCTTTTCAAAACACCTCTACATCACAGGCCTGAAGGATAATGAAACAGCAGCCACTCCCTCCAAGACCACCAAAGTTTAGTTTGGCACTGTGAACATTGGGGGGGGGGGGGGGAGAAGAGGGAGAAGAGGATGGCATCAGCCAAGCCTAGCTTAGTGGGGAAATTAAAGGCTCCTCGCCATAAAAGACCATCTTGTTCAATGTGTTGCATTCGAGCCCACATTTTACACAATCAGTTCCAAGTCTCGAATTTTCAAGTGAGCTACAGGTGAAGCAATCACAGATTGCAATAAATGGTGCCTCGTGTGGATGGAACCAGCTGGGGGAAGCAGAGAGATGAAAGCGGAAGAAGAAACAAGAAGGAAATGGCTGTTTGGCAATTTTAGTGACAAGTGCTCCTTAGTGTGTTCTCTTCCGTCATTTGTCGTTTTGTTGTCCTGTGCAAAGCCATATTTCACTCTCTTCAGTCCTGATGAGACTTTTCCGCAATGACTTTGCATTCATACTGCAAAACAAACACACAACAATTTATGGTGTGAATGCTTTAGGAAATGATGTACAAACACAATTTTTGGCAAGAAAGAACGATGCAGCTTGGTGGGCTTCCATTCTTTAAATGAACCAGATCTGCCAGTGCCCTGGTGATCTGTGCATACAGGGTAAGACGGCAACAGCCACGGTACCTTTTCTAAAAGAACATAGAACAAAATACACCCACCCACACCCATTAGAGATGGTAACTTTGCACAACGATTCTGCCCTTGGTTGTTGCTCTATTCACAGTGTGTGTCCACACACACTATTCCAGTGATTCATACACAACCTGCTTGGCCTGGAACAGATATTTTATATTTACATTTTTTTTTGTGTGTGTGTTGTTATTATTTAGACCATTGAAAAAGGCCCTCTGGGTCAAATTGTGTTTTGGTCCTGTAGTTATTATATGTGTAACCAATATTTTAATCCAGTAGTTACTGTACGTGCAACCTACATTTCTTGCTGTATGTAATGTGATACACCCTACCTGTGTGGTTTTATCTGCATTATATTTACGTTGTTTTTAATCCATAGTTTTTGTGCATTTTGTAATAAATAGATGTATTTTGTCCCATGTTTCAGCTGCTCAACCTTCTAGGTTCCTGACTTGACTCTCAGGTTGGGTTACCCCCCCCTTTTGTGGTGTCCTTTTCTAAAAGAAGCAAAAGAAGTGCAGGATAGTTGTATTCCTATCAGCAAAGGCAGATCAAGCTGCACAATCCTACTTGTGTGAATCCAATTCATGCCTGAATGGGCAAACAGAACCTTAGGCAAATGGGAATTACTGAGGCATTGTTTCAGAGTAGTATTGCCCAGTCTCTATTTGATCAGGCACAATGCCACTGACAACCCATCTGTCACAACAAGAACTTGCCAAGAGCTTGCATAGGGTACAATGGAGAGACCAAACTTCAAACCTTGCCTCTCCTGTAAACTCATGATGTGGTCTTGGACAGTCAGTTCTTTCTATCTCAGCCACCCATCTAAAAACGCCTAGGTAATAAAGAATACCCTACCTGAAGAAAAGTGGCACGTGAAAATGTCCTAAATGAGTAAATAAAATAGGATTTTTGTAAGGATCGTGCAGCTTTGAAGCATTCATTTTAACAATCTCAGCTTTTTCAGTTACCTATTTTTTTTTACAACACTGTTTTATTGCTTGGTGTGGCGGGGTGCAGCTGAGAATCCAGTGTCAAGCAGGTACTAGCCTGGCAAGGATGGCAAAGTGGCTAGCTAGGCTGGGGGGGGGTGTATTCAAGTTTGATGCAGTGCACACCACCATTGGATGTGTGACATGATTAGTAGAGAAGAGCATTACTGGCGCAGCATCTCGAACTGCCTGAGTACGAATACAAGCAATGCAAATACCTGGACACGGCCTGCAAGGAAAAAGCGGTGCACCTGCCAGCCGATTAAATCTTTCTTAAGCACACTGCAAACAATCTAATAAACTAACTTACCATTGCCAGCTGCCGGCCAATGTTTCCCATTGTTATTCCACCAGCAAAAAAGATACATGGTAACCAGGAACGAACATAAAGAAAGTCAGGTGAAGTGTATCTAAGGAAAGGGAAAAGAGTCGTGTATTACTTGACAGTTCTGAACACAACAGAAGGAGGACATGAAACTCTGGCATGTTGAGGCTATGGACAGGATCAAACTGGATTGGCACAAATAACAATTTGTGGCAATACACAGTCCTGTTTTTAGAAAAAAACGGGGCAGTGGCAGCTAGCCTATGTTCCTACACCATGCAACTTTGCAGTAACTAAAAAGGTGCATAGGATGCCAAAGAGGGCATTGACGCTTACTGTGTAAAACTGTAGTTAAGTGCGTGAGGAACTACAAGTTCTAGCACAACAGTTACTTCACTGGGAGTGGCAAAACACCTTATGCCAACCCTTAGGAATTACACTCTCTCATTAATGATGCTGCATGCAGGAAGGATGGAGCAGGAATTACCAGCAAGTATAGAAATACACAGTCTGAACAGCAACAGACAGTGCCAGGCAAATTCCTTTCTGTATCGTGGGGTGCAATGTTAAGGGCCCAACTAGGTAAGATCGTGGAAGATCCATGCTGACATTTCCTGCTTTTGTGTTAAATTTTCAGAAGCAAGCCTGGCAAGGCGGGGAAGCTATTTGAATCAGAGCTGCAGCAATGAGGGAAGGGTTGCTAACCCACTCACAGGTATTTGCCTCACAAGGGAAACAGGTACTTGCTGTGCAGATTTACATTCCTGAGGAGGCTGATCTGCAGTGGAGGAAAAAGGGTATGCAGGAAAGTATTAACCTGCATGGCCACCAAAATTCCACAGCCTTGGTCCCAGTTGGGCTCCCCACTGGCTGCTTTCTAAAAAATAAATAAATAAAAATCTAACCTATGTTACATGTCACTAGGGATGGGCATAAACCACAAAAATGTGGTTCAGATGCCTATATCACAAACAGCTGAGCCACAGGGGCAGCCTGCTCCCACGGCTCAGCTATTTAAAGGGCCTTTCATGGGCAGTTAGCCCCAGGAGCTGGCTGCCTAAGAAAGCCCCTTTAAACAGCTGAACCGCAGGAGCAAGTTATTTCTAATCTTTCGGTGGCAGGGATGTTTTGGCAGCTTTTGCTCCCCATGAACAACCCACAAACTGCCTTAAAAGTTCATGGAGGTTTGTGGCTCGGCTGCAGTTCGCGAACCACGGAGTTTGTGAACCACGAACCAGCCAAAATTCATCATGAACAAAGGTTTGTGAGCCAGTTCATGCCCATCCCTACATGTCACACCTTTGTATGCAATGACACCCAGCTAAGTCACATTGATTCCAATGGGTCACAGGTGTCATCAGGCTTAACTGATGATGGAAAGTAGTCAAGCAGTTTTGAGTATCCAACAAATAAGCCAGATACCGCCATTACTGAATATAATTTTACTATGCAATATGTACACACGCACTTACTGATAAACTCCATTGTAGACCAGAAGCTGAGTCGCAAGTGTGGCCAGAAATGCAATTCCTATACCCAGGCCAAAGCCACTTCGAGACCTATCAAATGTCCACCACAATCCAATGGAAAGTGCTGCAAGTGTCAGAGATAACTGGATGTTGTTGGCAAAATCCACTTTCTGTGAGCATTGTTAAGGGTCCAATTCAGAAGGTCAAGGAAATATTAATTCTTACTTTACCAGTACCACTGCACACTTCCCACATTCTAAGCACTTATCAGCTCTCTGAAATTCCCAGGGACCCAAGCCTTGATACATCCTTTAATACCTTCTGTTAATTAAAGACTTATTTCAAACATATTTTTCAAATTTTTGCACATGACAGAATGTTCCGTGCATGCAATTCCAGTGACATTAATAGGAAGGCCTTGATATAACTTTTTCACTCCCTATAAAATTAAGGTATTGCCTCTAGCGTAATTAACTTAATTCTTAATACCCCCACTTTAATTAACTTAATGCTTGAGAAGGATACAGCACTGGCATGATTTATACCAACAAAGACTGCTACACATCGCATCACACTGGACCATTCTCGCTTAAATTTATGCGGCTCACCTAGATGTCTGTCCATGCAGGGGTACAATAACCCAATCCCAGCTGGAAAACAAACAAAAAAATAAAAGAAATACTGAGAAATCTGCAAAATTTGTCATCCATAATTTATTCCCTTTGCACATGAATGAACTTATTTCGCCATTTTCCAGCAAGAATGCCCAGTTGAAAAAATTTATCCCCTCAAGTTCTTCACAATCTGTTCAGGATTTAATCATTCTCAACATACCAGTGCCTCTTGAAAAATGAGGTTTCCTTTTCATCTTTGTGTACTGGTTCACTGTTTCTCCCAACCCCTTACTAATACACCTGTACATTGATGCAATTTCAGCAGTTGCTTAGCGGCAGCTTTGCAGCACTACAATTCAGACGACATAACCTGCTTTCAGTTTGGCTACAATTCTTCAGTGAAGAAGAGCAAGGCCCCAATTCAGGACCTAAATAAATGTGCTGTTTTCTATAAGTACTCTGTCTTAGCTTTGAAGGTAGGGTGTTTTTGTTTAATGTCAATCATTCCTGCCTTTTGCTTCCTAATCTGAAATCTTCATTCTACAACAGCTTAATTTCCCACAGACGTGTTTTGGTCACCTCTGGGACAGGGTAACTAGTTCTAGTGAAGTCACAGACACATGATTCTTCTGCAGGTTTAAAAAACAGAGGAGTGTGACAAAACTCAAGTATAAGCAAAAGTCAATTTGTAGGATGCCTAGGACTGCACACTTAAGACAGCATTGCTTTCAGTTCCCCAGGACACCTGCTTTTGGACCAACAATTATAGACTGTCCTCTCAAGTGACTTTATCCCTATCGCAACAAGAACATAAGGAAACATTCCCCTTGTTTCCCCTTCTCTCTTTAACCCCAAGGCCTACAAGCATTATGATGAGGTCATATACACAACATTTTGACAGCACCTACAAAGGCTGGTAATGTTAACTCCTGCCAAGAGTACACATGAAGTCAAGCAGCATAGTCAAGACTAGTACTTACTACCAGAGGTCATTTCGGGGGGGATCGCGGGGGATCGCAGTTCCCCCAGGTGAGGTACGGGGGCGGGGCACATGATAAAGCCCCGCCCCCTGCTTCCGGCCCTCATT